GCACCACATTAACAACCTATGGAATAAGTCAAAAATCCTTACTAAGTAGGAGTTATTAACAAACTCAAATACTACTAAGTCAAAGTCCTATCATAACATTATCCTCCCTTAATCTGATTCATAACAATCAGATTATCTTTGGTTCCTGACATACTCCCATTAAGGCACACAGCTTCTCAAAGTTAGCTAATGGAAGTGGTTTTGTCATGATATCAGCCAACTGCTCCTGGTTATGATAGTAAGTCATCTTCACAACTCCATCCTTAGTGAGATCACGAAGAAAATGGAAGCGGACGTCAATGTGCTTGCTTCGACCATGCATAATAGGATTTCTCGAAAGCTTGATAGTAGAGCTGTTGTCACAAAACATCACTGTAGGATCCTGTTGAGCATGATGAAATGTCTCCAACATCCGTCTCAACCAAACTGCTTGACAGGAACAAAAAGCTGTAGCGACAAACTCAGCTTCAGTTGTGGAGAGTGTGACAATAGGCTGCTTTCGAGATGACCAGGACACAGCACCGTAACTGGATAAGAAAAGAAAATCAGAAGTACTCTTCCTATCCTCTAGATCCCCTACATAGTCACTATCAGTGTAAGCCACAAGCTCATAATTTCCTCCCTTGTGGTATAACACACCAAAATCAAGCGTCCCTTTGATATAACGCAACACTCTCTTGGCTGCCTGAAAATGTAATTCGGTGGGATGCTCCATAAACCTGCTCAAGAGGCTCACAACAAACATAAGATCTTGCCTTGTGGTTGTTAAATACATCAAACTCCCCACAATTTGCTTATAAATAGTGTTGTCCACCGGTATCCCATGAATGTCTTTCACAAGCTTAGAACCTGGAACAATGAGATTACGTACAGAATTACAAGCAATCATGCCAAAACGATCCAGAATCTCTTGAGCAAGTTCTTTTGACCAATAAAAATTCCATCAACCTGTTGCAAGACTTCTATACCAAGAAAATACCGCATTCGACCTTGATCCGTCATATCAAATTCTTGCATGATGGATTGCTTAAAATTGCTAAACAAAGCTGCATCGTCACTAGTAAAAATAAGGTCGTCAACATATAGACAAACAATGAGGAGTTTACCTTCCAGAGATTTTTTTAGAAACAAGGTCTGTTCATGGGGACATTTTTCGAAATCTTCCTTTAGAAAATATGATTCAATCCGGCTATACCAAGCCCGTGGGGCTTGTTTTAAGCCAATACAATGCCTTTCGAAGCCAATACACCTTATGTTCTTCACCANCAGAGATTTTTTTAGAAACAAGGTCTGTTCATGGGGACATTTTTCGAAATCTTCCTTCAGAAAATATGATTCAATCCGGCTATACCAAGCCCGTGGGGCTTGTTTTAAGCCAATACAATGCCTTTCGAAGCCGATACACCTTATGTTCTTCACCTTTCAATTCATATCCAGGGGGCTGCTTGACATACACCTCTTCATCCAACTCACCATGTAAAAATGCTGATTTAACATCTAACTGGAAGATAGGCCAGTTGTTATGAGCTGCAAGAGAAATAACAAGCCGAATGGTATCCAATCGGGCAACGGGTGCAAAAACCTCTAAATAATCAACCCCATGTCGCTAAGTATAGCCCTTGGCAACCAGCTGGGCCTTAGATTTGTCAATTTCTCCATGCTCATTCAGTTTAGTCTTGTATACCCACTTTACGCCCACTTTCTTTCCTCTGGCTGATAAATTAGTGGGCTCCCATGTTGCATTCTTTCGAATAGATTCAATTTCGGAATCCATAGCACTTCTCCAGGTAGGATTTTTAATAGCATCAGCATAGGATAGAGGATTTGCATCCACGAACTAGGCAAAATTACCAAGATTTTCATCTTCTCAAAGACCTTCCCCACTTTCAAAGTCATTCAGCGATTGTGGAGGTCTGCAAACTCGTCGAGTAGCAGCAGCGGAAGTTTCCGTACTATCAATCTGGCCAACAGTGTTGGATTCAGTTGTATCTGGGTTCACAGAGGCCTCATCATCTCCAAAGTCCTCCTCATGAGTAGGCATAGGCACGGATGCTACTAGAGTTCTTGGCATATGATTAGTGTCGACGCCCTCTGGCTCTACAAGTTCATCATCAATGTCCACCATAGCTTCAGTGTCCTCTATATCTCCCCAATACAGATTAGTTTGAAGAGCTTCATGGTGACTATCATCCCAATTCCAACCTTCATGTTCGTTGAATATGACATCTTGGCTAATCACTATCTTCTTCGTGAGAGGGTCATATAACCGGTATGCCTTAGATTCATCGTTGACCCCTAGCATCACACATTTCAAGCTTTTGACCTCTAATTTAGTACGCTTAATGCCGGGAATATGAGCATAGGAGAGACATTCAAACACCCGAAAGTGATCAAAAGAGGTTGTGAATCCACTCCAAGCCTCCTCTGGAGTTTTGTTGCGAACGGAAAATGTAGGACTCCGATTCAGAATTTGCACTGCCCAATCTACAGCTCCAGTCCAAAAGGTCATTGATACTTGTCTACTGGTGAGCATACAACGAACCATATTCATAATTGTATGGTTCTTTCTTTCAGCCACCACGTTTTGCTGAGGTGTGTAGGCAGCTGTAAGTTGACGATGGATGCCATGTGACACACAGAAATCATTGAATGATTTTGAGGTGAATTCCCCTCCGTGGTCTGTCCGTAACCCCTTGATGCAAGTTTCCTTCTCTGTCTCTACTTTAGTTTTAAAAGCTTTGAAGATGCTAAATGATTCTGATTTTTCAGTCAAGAAGAACACCTAGATTTTGCAACTAAAGTCATCAATAAATGTTAAGATGTACCTCTTCTGGCTATTGGAAATCGGAGAGATAGGTCCACAAATATCAGCATGAAGGAGCTGAAGTACTTGAGAGGCCCTCCAGATGCTTTTTTGTGGGAATGGATTTCGATGCTGCTTTCCCATCATACAATCTTCGTATAAAATGTTGGAGTCAGTAAGTGGTGGCAAACCCTTGACCATCTGTCATTGATGAAGTAGTTTTAATCCTCTGAAACTCAGGTGTCCATAGCGGCAATGTCATAAGTAATTTGGATTCTCCACATGAGTATGCAAACAATGGTCATCTTGTGTCTGGATCGTGGCAAGAAGAACAAACATTCGGTTGAAAGACATTGTTGGTTCAATAATAAGACCCTTTTGTGGATGAAAGACTTTGCACATGTTATTTCGAATTAAAATTGCCAAGCCTTTCTCCTGCAACTGTCCAATACTCAATAAATTATTCTTTAAAGCAGGAACATAGAATACCTCACTTATGACTTGCACAATTTTACCAACTTGCATGTGAATAGTGCCCTTGCCCATAACTTCCAGCTTGGAATTGTTTCCCAGTTTGACGGATTTGCGAAAGCTGCCATCTAGAGATGAGAACAACGCCAGTTTTCTACACATATGATTACTGCAACCTGAGTCTAAAAACCAAGCCTCTTTCCCTGAATNTTTGACGGATTTGCGAAAGCTGCCATCTAGAGATGAGAACAACGCCAGTTTTCTACATATATGATTACTGCAACCTGAGTCTAAAAACCAAGCCTCTTTCCCTGAATCTCCTCCATCAACATTAACATAGGCCATGAGAAGGACTTCTTCATGTGCATATGCATCATCACTTGTTTCAACAAAATTAAACTTCAGTCCCTTGGCCTTCTTCTTTGGACATTCACATTGAAAATGTCCCAGGTCATGGCAGTAGTAACATTCCACAATTGACTTATCAAAACTTTCTCTGACGCGACCACGACCATGACCACTAGTACCACGACCTCGACCTTGTGCGGCGACATGGGTGTCATGCCTTATGGCTAAGGCTTGCTCTTCCACAACATGACTACTCATCTGTTGTTCATGCACCAAAAGGCTACTCTGCAATTCGTCAACAGACATGTCTTCCAAATTTTTGGACTCCCCAATGGAGCAAACAACGTAATCAAATTTGGAAGACATAGATCGCATAATTTTCTCAATTACAGTGATGTCGGCCATCTTTTCACCATGAACACGCAGTTTATTTGTGATAGTGAGAGTATGAGCGAAATAGGCATCAACTGACTCTCCCTCTTGCATGTGGAGAACCTCAAACTCTCTGCGGAGTGCTTGAAGTTGTGTGCGTTTGACCCTTGCATTCCCTTGATACTTCAGCTTCATCGAATCCCAAATATCCTTTGAGGTATCCTTTCTGAGGATAATCTCAAGGATGGACCTGTCTATGGTTTGAAAGAGATAATTTTTGGCCTGCAAATCCTTTAATCTCAGATCAGCCATTGCCTTCTTCTGTTCATCTGTAGGTTCTGGACCGACTGCTACGGCAGGAAACCCATCTGTAGGTTCTGGACCAGCTGCTACGGCAGGAAACCCATCTTCAATCAACGTCCAGTATTCTTTTGCACGAAGAAATTTCTCCATGAGCATGCTCCAGTGAATGTATTGTCCATCAAACTTTGGAATGGCAGGTTGAACAAAACTGATACCAGATGTGAGAGTTAATATGAGGAGATACAAGAATTGGGAGAATACTTTCTTAGTTTATTCAAGTAACAATTGCTTCATTCTAAAGGGGGATTTATAAGCTTCTTTAATGAAGAAAGCTCATTTAGGAGATTTTGTGTAGTGAAAGAGGCAGAGGGCTCTCTAATTTGTTATTCTCTGCTTGAATTATGTTAAGTAGGTATCACCTGACAAGAAAGTAAATCAAATGTTTTAGTATAGTAAATTTCAAAGGCTTGTGTAATTAGCTATGGTGATGCACTTTGTAATGTTTGGGCGTGCCATGAAATTGGATCTGGGTGGTGTGATGTGCATGTTAAATGCAGTAGATGGTTGAATTTTCTTTGTCTAATCCAAATGCCTTGGAATTGGCTTCTAAAAATTTTGGCTGCTGTTCTCCTATGCATACGTAGTATTTACCCAGTTGATCTTAAAAGCTGAGATTCACCTGTTATCTTTTCACTCTGCATAGGTAATATCTGAATGCGCATGCACCATTTTCTCTTTCTGTAAGGAAGAACTGAGCACTTCCCTGCTTTTCTTTGCTGGCTGTCATCACCATCACTGCTGGCACTGTCTGGGAGCTAAAGTAAGTGCAGTGGATACTTAATTGCTACAGCACCTATCAAGAAATGGCAGAAGAGACTTCAAAGCCCTCAGAAGAAGCAGCTGCTACCCTTTTGGTTCGTCACCTTCCTGAAGCCATTCCCTATGACACCCTCTGTCGACTATTCTCTCACTATGGTGCTTCCTACGTGCGGCCGTGCACTGGAGGAAAAGTGAGAAACTGTGCATTCATTGATTTCAAGAGTGAAGCTTTGGCATCGCAAGCACAACACCAGTTAAACGGATTGCGGTTTCTTGGCAAAGTCTTGTCGGTGGAGAAAGCTAGTAAACCAATAGATGATAGCAAATCTCATCAAAGTGAAACTCAGTTTGGGAAGGGCTCCATATCCTCAATGAAAAATGCTCTTGTAACCAGAGATCTTGATAAAGGATTGAAAAGAGGCTCCTTACCTGCTAGTGAATCCATTGCAGAAAGACTTGGCGTGGACTACCCATTTCCTCCCCATCTTGAGTATGCATACCCCTCAGCAGATAGAAATATAGTGACCAACATTGTGAATGCTCTTATTGCAGTTCCTCGATTCTATATCCAGGTGTTACACTTGATGAACAAAATGAATCTTCCAGCTCCATTTCATTCTTTGCCAATGCAACCTCTAACACCTCCAGCACCGGCTATGCCACCACTCGAACCACCTCCTCCTCCTCCTCCTCCTCCCTCAGCTGCTAAGTCTCGATTGGCAGATCTGTCTAGTGGTGAATCAGAGTTGGAGTCTTCAGATGAAGAAGTTGATGACAACACCAATTCCATCAGAGGTATGAGAGAAGTGGGACATAAACAAAAACGCATCAAGCGAGAAACTATTCTAGGTCCTGCAGTGGATAAAGACGTGGCTCATGAGGATGTAGGATTAAAACCTGCCACCTTGGTGCCAAAGGAGATCCCAGTGGTCAAAAAGAAAAACCCTGTGCTTCATATCAAAATTGCCCCTAAACAAATGCAGACTGAACAGAAACATAATGGTACCAACAAAGAATCAGAGGAGGTAGAGAAAGAGCACTCAGATCTGAAACCTTACGCAACCCCAGAAGAATTGGAGAGTGGGAAGTTGCCACCTGAGGAAATTTTATCACTTCCAATGTTTAAGAATTATACTGCTGGGTGTCCTGCTTCAGTGTTGTACATAAAAAACTTAGCAAAGGATGTGGTTGCAGATAACCTCTACTTCATATTTGGATCATTATTTGGGAGCATTGAGGCTGCTAAATCTTGTCTGAGTGTGAAGCTAATGCAGGAGGGAAGAATGAGAGGCCAAGCTTTTGTGACATTTCCAACGGTTGAGCTTGCCCATCGAGCTCTGAATCTGGCTAATGGGTATGTGTTTAAAGGGAAGCCCATGATCATCCAGTTTGGCCGGAATCCTGTAGCTGCAAAAGCAAACTAAAAATCTTATCTGCAGAAGCATACGGATCCATGAATTTTGGGTGAATGAACCTTGAATTTGACTTGTTTATACGAAATTTCAGTGAGTTAATGTAATTTAGATCCAAATTAGTCAAACTAATTTTTTCCAAATTCAAGTAACGGCATCTGTACAGCTTACTCAGCCAAGTAACACTGATGAGCTTCAAAATCTGTTCGAATGGGCTTCAACAAGACTCCAATGGAGTGGATCAATTGAGTGGATCTCCAAGTTGAAGTTAAAAATAAGGGTTAATTGTACTTGAGGTTTTTAAATTATGGGGTTTGTCTAATTTTGGCCATTAATATTTTAATTGTATTATTTTGGTTCCTAAAGTATTGAATATGTTTTTACGTGATTTCTTACACATATAGTATCTAAATTGCAAATTATTTTTAATCATAAATTTATCACGTGATACTTAAATATGGGTAAAAAAATTATTTAGGTAGCTCTTGACTAAAATTTAAGTAGTTTTTGACCAAAAATGTGTAATTTAAGTAGTTTTTAACCAAAATTTTGATAGTTCTTTGACCAAAGTTTGAGTAAAAATTTAGTCAAGAGTTGTATAAATTATATTTTGTTCATATTTAAATATTATGTGATAAATTTATAATAAAAATTTATTAAAAATCTATGAGTAATGTGGACGTTTGTTTGAGGGAGAGGCCTCTCCTATAATTTTTCCTCCCGTGGATCCAGATCCGATTTCGGACTATTTGATATCCATCGGGTCATACGCCCTACAAACTTGCTAGAAATTGGACTAATCGGCAGAGACAACCTACGCCGAAGTTCGAGGGAGGGTTTTCTCCGTTTCCGGAGACCCCATACATCATCGCCATCTGCAAAAAGGGGCTGTTTCGAGAGAGATATCATTTTAATTTCCTAAAATGGAGGTTGATTGCGAAACTCCTACTAAAGGTAAATGTGTACTGTGGATGGAAAATTTTCTCTCTCTAGCTCTAGGGTTTTCTGAATTGTTATGCTTAAAGTCGTGTAATCTTTTTGTTTTTTTTTTCTCTTTCCAATATTCATAATAGGCGAAGAAGAAGAGAAGAGGAAGCCGATAGTGGTGATACTGGTGGGTGCACCAGGTAGTGGCAAATCCACCTTCTGCAATCATGTCATGCGGGTCTCTACCCGACCATGGGTCCGAGTGTGCCAGGTTCATCTCTCTCTCTCTCTCTCTCTCTCTCTGAAGCTCACGTGTTTGTTGAAATGTTTCAATGGGCTTCTTCATATTCATTGTTCATAAGTTGATCCATTGACCATTGTCCACCTGTATCATGTATCCTACTGGTGTACTGCTTCCCAACTAGCCCTCATACCTTTTGATTTCTTAGTCTGAGAGACTTGTTCATTTTTTATCTTTGGTAATCAAATTTTAAGCATTGTGCATAGATAAAGAAACATGGTGTCTTTGGGACTTAAACAGTGGAGCATTTATCTCTTCTATAGATATACTAGTTATTTCCTGTGTCTGAAAGCACGTGGTAATAAAAAAAATGATCAACAATGAATATATTTATATTTACATTCAAAATTAAAATACAAAGATTGAGAAAAAAGAAATGAATTTAAGCATTTGGTTATAGTTGAGGCGAGTGGTGGTGGACGACAATGGTGGTGGTGGAAGATGGTGATGGTTGTGATGGGTGACGACAATCGGTTGTGATGGTGGCAGTCGTGGGGGGCAATGGTGGTGGTAGGGCGGTGGGGATGGTCGTAGTAGGGATGATGGTGGGACAGTGGTGTTAGTGGTAAGGTGGTGGTGGTGGTGGTGGTGGTGGTTGCGGTAGTTGTGGTGGGACGGTGGGTGTGGTGATGATAGTGAAGTGGCGACAGTGATAGTGGTTGTTGTGACAGGTGATAGTGGGGTAGCAGCGGCGGCAACGATAATGGTAGTCGTGGTGGTGGTGATGGGGCGGTTGGGGGGGGTGCTAGTGGTAGTGGTAGTGGTAGTGGTAGGACAATTCCAAATACTATTTAAAAAAGAAAAATACTTATGAGCAATTATAAGTCCTATAAACACTTTTAAAAAATTGTCCTAAACACACATTTAGAGGCCTATTTTTTCTATTAATTTTGGGGTGTTAATAGTAACCGTCAGATTAATTTTAAAATAAAATTTAAAGAGATTTCAACCGTGAAAAGCAAAAGTCATTTTGTTATCTTTTGAGATTTGAATTGTATTGTACTTTATTATGTAAATGGTTAAAGCAATGTTGTTCTGACAGTTTGGGATATTGTTTTTGTGGGGTTAGTAACTTACTTCTCTTTGCTTTTTAGTGCAGGACACGATTGGAAATGGTAAGGCTGGAACCAAAACTCAATGCCTGATGAGTGCTGCAAGTGCATTGAAGGCTGGCAAGAGTGTATTTATTGACAGATGCAATTTAGATAGAGAACAGCGCTTAGACTTTGTAAATATTGGTGGCCCTCAAGTAGATGTGCATGCTGTGGTGCTTGATCTTCCTGCAAAGCTTTGTGTTTCTCGGTCTGTAAAGAGGACTGGGCATGAAGGAAATTTGCAAGGTGGAAAAGCTGCTGCTGTTGTCAACCGAATGCTGCAAAAGAAGGAACTCCCAAAGTTGAGTGAAGGGTTCGCTCGAATAATGCTTTGCCAGAATGAAAGTGATGTTCAAGTTGCTATTAATATGTACAATGCACTTGGTCCATTAGATACCCTTCCATCTGGTTATTTTGGCCAGAAGAACCCAGCCGCTAACATTCAACTTGGTATAATGAAGTTCCTAAAGAAAGTCGATGGCCCCAGTAGGGCAGGATCTGATGCTAATGTGCCTCAGGATTCCATTGCTAATCGAATTTCCAAGGAAAATGATCGCCTCCCTGAAGGACCAGATAATGGTTCTGCTTCATTGGGTCATGCTGTTAACAATGTGACAGATGGTGAAGAGCTGGAAATGGGCTCTCCTGGAGGTACAGTTTCTTCGTGCAATGTTCCCACTTTGGCATTTCCATCTATCTCAACAGCGGATTTCCAGTTCAACATTGAGAAAGCATCTGATATTATTGTCGAGAAAGTTGAGGAATTTGTGAAAAAGCTTGGAGATGCTAGGCTTGTTTTGGTAGACTTGTCTCATAAATCAAAGATATTGACTTTGGTTAGGATCAAAGCCACTCAAAAGAACATTGACTCCAGTAAGTTCCACACATTTGTTGGAGATATAACTCGACTTAGTTCAGAAGGAGGTTTACGCTGCAACGTAATTGCTAATGCTGCCAACTGGTAAGCTTCTTCTAACATTCACTTCTAGCCTAATCAAAGCCTTCATAAGGATTCATTGGGTTTCCCAAAACCAATATTTCCTCTCTGTAATTCCTCTTCCTGATTATCTGTGGCTGCTTGAATAATCTGTCATCACCGTTGCATTTGTCCCTGAGCTATTTATTTATTTTTGTAATAATGCTTTTTCAAGGATTTAGGTAGGTTGAAATAAGGGAGAATCTAGAATAAATATGAGTTTGAAAATAAAAGAAACTCACTATAATTAATGGTCTTCTAGAGTCCTTGACTCGCTTTTCTTATAATGTTAAGTAGGGATTACAATCTACTGCCCATTTAAAAAGCTGTTTTAGGTTTTATTAACCCACGTGAAATCTGCTAGTTTCTGCACCACATCTATGGTAGTCTCTATATCTGCTTTTATGTTGCAAAGTCCTACAATCATTTCACTTTTAAAATGTTAGTGACCTGATAAGAAACAGGGATAAGGTTGGGAAGCAGTGTGTTATTTGGAAGTTGATTTTACCTCCTGAGATGTATGTGTGTGGAGTGTTAAGCAATTGAAAAACAACTGGCGGTTGTTGGAGAAAATGTCTCATGTAGCACAAAATCGAGGGGGGCACTGGCCTATTATTGTTTATTCCTTTTATGGATTCAATTGCAGCATAAGCTTTCTAATACCTGTGGAATGTTCTTTATTGTTGGATGACAGGCGACTGAAACCAGGAGGTGGAGGCGTGAATGCTTCTATATTTAGTGCTGCAGGTGCCGCCCTAGAGACTGCAACAAAAGAGCGTGCTGTATCTCTTACCCCCGGGAAAGCTGTAATCGTCCCTCTTCCTTCAACTTCTCCGTTATTTAGTAGGGAAGGAGTTACCCATGTCATACATGTCCTTGGACCAAATATGAATCCGCAGAGACCAAATTGTCTCAGCAATGACTATATTAAAGGCTGTGAAATTCTTCGTGAGGCATACTCATCAATCTTTGAAAGTTTTGCATCTATAGTGAGGACCCCCAAAAATTTGTCCATGGAAAGCTATGAAAAACAAGTGTCAGGTTTGTCAGATTCTCAGAATCACTTTGAGATTAGTCCTATGGATCAATTTTTAAATAGTGAACTGAAATTCAAGAGAGAGGGTGTCCATGAATCTGGGGGAAACAAAAAGTGGAAGCCACTTCAGGATGAACTTGGATCTAATTCAAGAAATTCAAAAAATAGAGAGAACAATCCAAACAGTGAAAAGAATGGTGGAAGCATGACCAAGTCATGGGGATTCTGGGCTCAAGCTCTTTACCGCATTGCCATGTTTCCTGAGAGGCATAAGAATGATGTAATAGAAATATCAGATGATGTTGTGGTACTGAATGATCTTTATCCAAAGGTTATTGGTCTCTCTCTCTCTCTCTCTCTCACACACACACACACACACAGTCTAGTTTTCAATCTAATAACATTGATACTCTATTGCAGGCACAAAAGCACCTTGTGGTGATGGCACGAGCTGAAGATCTTGATTGTCTTGCAGATGTACGTGAAGAACACCTCCAGTTGTTGAGGACGATGAATACCATGGGCTTGAAGTGGGCTGAGAAGTTCCTAAGTGAACATGAAACATTGGTCTTTCGCCTTGGCTACCATACAGTATGTCTTCCTTGAGCCATTTTGCTAAGTTTCTGGTTGATTTGTCTTTTCCTTGTGTAATGCTGTGACTGGTTGCTTGATTTCTAAGACAAAAAAGTTGTTGAAATTTAAACGTTGAAATGGTGATCTTGAAGTAGTGCAACCATTCTTTTTCTGAGGATAGACCATTTAAGCACATACTCAAAGACCTGATAGTCCTAATATGATAGTTTGACTAGACAAGAAAAGGATGGAATTAGGATCAGATGTCTTTACAAAAAAACTTGGGAAAGGTACAGAGGGCTAGAAGGTGATATAGACTCCTGATCATGTTTTATCCTTCACAAGTTATAATGAGACTGAGCTACGGACAAAATGGTTTAAATCAATGGGAGTGCCCAATAAGACATGGGCTTGTGGTTGTCAGGAAGGTGTGCCTGCCTTACTTTTAATTTACACATCAAAGAAACTGAATGGTGAATGCTAATTTATGTTTGACAAAGGCCACAAGGGACATAGGAGAATATGATGGAATTAGGATCAGATGTCTTTATAAAAAACCTTGGGGAAGGTACAGAGGGCTAGAAGGTGATATAGACTCCTGATCATGTTTTATCCTTCACAAGTTATAATGAGACTGAGCTACCGACAAAATGGTTTAAATCAATGGGAGTGCCCAATAAGACATGTGCTTGTGGTTGTCAGGAAGGTGCGCCTGCCTTATTCTTAATTTACACATCAAAGAAACTGAATGGTGAATGAATGCTAATTTATGTTGGACAAAGGCCACAAGGGACATAGTAGGATATGTGGACTAGTCAAGAGAGAGACAGAGAATTAGGATGGGTAACTTCATAGAAGGTAGGACAACACCATCTACTGGTGACCAAGTAAATGGTGAAATACAGCAATATTAAGGTATTAAGAAGAGGGAGGAGGCCCAAGAAACATAAAATTAGCTTCTAAGAAAGGGCATAATGGCCTTTGATTTAAATACGTTATAAAAGCAGATTATCCTGGCAAAAGGTTTGTGTATAGTTTGGACTATAATGAATTCTTGAACTATTGTTCCTCGCGGTACAAACTATAGCAGTTTCCACTTGCGTGCTACTGGATATTAATAAGGATGGAATAATTATAATTGCATGCATTCTCTTTTGATGCAACTGAGAGAATTTAGCAATGGAATGATGATAATATAGTGTTTGATGTAGTTGTGGATATCACGCATAAGTATTTTCATATTGTAGCTTAAACTTAACTTTTTTCCGGAGATAAACTAGTAGTTATATGCTAAGAAATGAGATTGCTTTCCTAGTAAGCTTGTTGACCTTTCCGTTTTTGCAGGCACCTTCAATGCGACAACTGCACCTGCATGTTATCAGCCAGGATTTTGATTCAGTACATCTGAAGAATAAAAGACACTGGAACTCGTTTAATTCACCATTCTTCCGGGATTCAATAGACGTAATAGAGGAAGTCGTTAAACATGGGAAAGCCACATTGAAAGATGATGACAGATTCCTGTCAATGGAGTTGCGATGCCACCGATGTAGAAGTGCACATCCAAATATACCTCGCCTCAAAACACATATAAGCAAGTGTCGAGCCCCTTTTCCTGCTGTTCTACTCCAACCTGGTCATTTAGTGTGTGCACGAACTAGTGATGGACTTGTTCAGTAGGACTGTCCAGGCTATCCTCCATCAAAATTTTGCCTTCTTGTTTATAACAGTCTCTCTGTTTGTGCCCGAGCGTGGGCATGTATTCCATCTTCACGAGGCACTTAGGGCCTGTTTGGTATGTTTTTGGGAGGGATTTGGATTGACTTGTCTAAACTCGGGTTTGACCAAAGATGGAATTCAAGGAAGGGATTCAATATTTCATGTTGTCCATATCCATGTTTGGTATGTGCAGGAATATATGATTGTTATGATAATATATTTGTATTTAAATGATTATTGTGCCCTTTAACTAATTTAATTCAAACATGAGTATGGATATATATGGGGTATAAATGTTATTTGAATGTGAAATTCTCAAACTCACTTATGAAACTAACCCCCCTTTCTCTCTCCCTCCGATGGGTTTCATGAAACTTAATGGTGTATTTGAACGTGGATGAGCAAAAGGTGCAAGTAACGTGAGATGAGCATGGATCAGAGTTTTAAAGTTCGTGTATTATGATGAAATCAAATATTGAGGGGATTAAAAGGGTGTATACAGTAAAAATATAGTGGTTCACCGGCTCGGGAGTTCGGCTAATCCACACTTTAATGGAGGCCATGGCTCCTTTTTCTTTATTGATCATACTAAAGGTTTACAGAATAGGTTTTTGGTCATTCGGTCCTCCTCTGAAGGGAGCATTACATGGTATTTATAGGGGGAGACCCTTAATCTATAGGATCTGATCCGTGATTCTCGTTATCTATCCGAAAAATTCTCCTTGATCTTAGGAGAGTATCGTGGTTGGTTGAGAATTTTGTGTCTTGAGTGTTATTTCAAACCGCCTGTAAAATTCTTTGTAGTATCCAATTGCTTTCTCATTACTTCAGCTTATTATCTCGCTTGAGGGGAGTTCTAGCTCTGGTTTTCTGAGTTGTGCATAGTTCTGACTTTCTAAACTCAGCATATCTGACCTCCATGTTTGACCTCCGTTCCCAAACTCTTGCTCGAGAATCATTCTGAATATCATCAAAATCCCATGAACAAGGGTTTCATGACCGGGTCGAATTTCAAACCCTATATTAAATTCATAGTTACTAAATATGGGTTTAAGGGGTTTAGTCCATAACCCATGTTCTTAACCCTCACACCCACGTACCAAACAGTCCCTTAATCTCTTTGCTAATGTGCGTTTGCACTTCTCTGTGCCGGTGAATCATGAATTGTACGGATTTTATGGTGTACAAATGCAGCATTAAGGTGGGTTGAATGCATGATCAATCCAAGCAAGGAACTTTTGCTTGGAAAAGCAACCGCAATCTCTTTCAACTAATTTACTCATTATCACGAAAACCCCCATGTCCGAACTTGGGAACTTAATTTCCAACTATAGTATGTTCTTGTTTAGCGTGGGCTAATGAATTTATTGTCGATGTAATAAGACACTTCGTACTCTTATTATTATTTGAATCATCTTCATAACTCAATAACTGAAGCCTACTATTTAACTTAAAAAAGGCCAAAGAAAAGGAAGACGCATCACCCACTGCCAAAAGGGCTGCCAATTGGTATCAACCTATCAAGCCGGGCAAGCAAGTCTGCAAATTCTATTGGGTTGCGCATGAACATCTCACTCACATGAATCTCACACGTAGAACCCCATAAAAATCTGCACCCACTGGCTTTACTGGATTCGAAGACAAATGGCAATCAAGTGAGGAGCCACAGAATGCCAATTTTGAAAAAGTAGGTTAAAAGACGATATGCATTGATGATACCAAAATTTGACATCACCTCCACGTCAACTTGTTTGGTATCAGAAGTTGTAGACCCGAGAAGAAATCTGGAGATCGATCTTCCGATGCCTAAGTCAGAAAGAGTATTTAAGAAGAAGAACATGAAATTAAGAGTTCAATTATCTTCTCCAAATTATCTTACATCTTCTCTTTTATAGCCAATGAATTAGGCCGTTGGACGATTCTTATCCATAATGTAAATATGGATATTACCGTGCTGTAGTGGGTGACAGCTCTCCATCCGGAGTAAGAGTCTAAGCTGGATTTGAAATAATCAAATCGTAAAGAGGTCAGACCCTGTCAACCCGAGAGCTCGAGCTGAGTTGGAGTTGGACTAAATAGTCTTTTCATCTTATGCCAATATCTCCATCATCATGTTCCATTTTTACTAACACAACCAAGTCCAGTACTTTGTCATTTTCCATCCACAGTCCATAGTCAAAAGGCATTGAAGAAGGAAAAGAACACAACAAATGAAGCAAAAAAAAAAAAAGATCAGGAGACATTGGAGATCATAGTGGATATCCACTAACTTGCAATACTCTGCAGCATACGCAAAATGTTTTACAAATCCGGAATTACAACCTATATTGACATGGAAACATAAAGTTGCTGGTTAATTCAGTATTAACGGATTCAATCCCTATGGTAGTAGAAGTGGAAGATTTACTGAGGGTTCGGTGGGCGGCTATTGGCGGCAGAAACTCTAGAGCCCCACTCAAGCAGCTCTTTGCTTGTGTCATCCTTGTGAACAATCACTTCAATGAAGCACAAGCAATCTTTCTTCTCATTAGTTGCTGTCTCTATTGCTTTAATGAGCTCCTCTTCATACCGGACCTGCAAGAATGAAAATTCAATCATAGTTCAATAAGGCTGCTGGCTGCCTACTTCCCCATCACGTATAGAGTGAAAGCATAATGCGACTCGACTCACCTTAGCTGTCCAGCACTTGCCTTCGCCGTTGTGGATTGCGTCAACCAATCCAGTGTAGTTCCAGTTCTTGATCACATTGTATGGTCCATCATGGATCTCAACTTCAATGGTGTAACCACCGTTGTTGATCAGGAAAATTATGGTGTTCTGTCCACAGCGTATCATTGTTGACACATCTTGTGCAGTCACCTGCAACCATTCAGCAAGAAGAGCGTAAACAGATGAAGGAAAAGGGATACAGGTGCGATAGGAGGGCATGGTTAAGCAGGTAAGTGAAGGCTCTCTCTCCCGCTCTGTGGCCTTGTGTAAAGCCTTTCTACCCATTTTGATCTTCATTCTAAGTGAACAAGTCGAAAGCAGTTAAGGTGATAGCAATAGTAAGCAGGGAAGCAATAAATACATAAATCATTTATGTCACAATTAAACAAACATATCACATCATTAAAATCATTTGACTAGGCGAAGTACTACAAGGTTTTAGCCCAAATAGTGTACACTCAACAGTTTCTACTTTCTGCAGCTAAATAGAGACATATATACCTGGAAGCTCCCATCACCAATGCAAGCGATCACTCGCTTATCTGATGCAGCTTGTGCATATCCGAGAGTTGCACCCACGGACCAACCAATGGATCCATATTGCATTTGGAACTCATACCTGGAAACCCAGATTTCACAACCTCAGTAAACATTATGAATCCTACACAAAAGCAAACAACGAAAAAACTACATTCTCTCTATAGCTCACCCGCATCCCTCTGGTAACTTGAGCTTCTGGCAATTGAACCATGAGTCCCCAGTCTCAGCAATCACAGCTGTGTCACTCGATAACATCTTCTGTATATGTTCGAATAGCACATTGACCCTCAAGGGCTCCTTAGGGTCACACTTGAGTGGATGTCCTTCAGGAACATAAATCCTGTGGTAATTATCATAAGCAGTCGTGTTACGCTTAAGCCGCTTTGCAAGTGCTTTCAAGAAATCTTTCATCAAAACACATCCAAAAGCAGGCCCATTCGCAATCACCACACGATCAGGCTGCACAATGATGGCCTTCTCTTTCTTGAGAAGCAGAGAGTACCCAACTGAGCTGTAGTCATTGAATATTGGACCAGCAAACAAATACGCATCAGCTGATTCCACGATTTCAGCACAAAAGGGCGTGCTCACCGCACCCCAGTAAGTCCCAATGAAATGGGGATGGTGCTCTGGCACAAGCCCTTTAGCAGATGGCATCACTGCAAGGGCATAGCCACAAGCATCAGCCAATTCAACAAAGGCCTCGCCCGCCTTGGCAACCCGCAGTTTTGGCCCTCCCACCGTCACTGGCTTCACTGCCTTGTTTAAGAACTCCGCCGCTGCCTCAACTGCTGCCTCCAAACCCATCTGATTACTCATTCTACACCACCCCCATTAAAAAATTAATAATTAAATCAAATCAATCCATACCCTGAATCCAGATTAGGACACAGATGTATGTACAACACACATCTTATTAATAAAAAATCAGAGAAAAACCCATCTAATTACTCAGTCTACATCACTAATACCACAATTAACTATAAAAAATTAATTCAACCACAATAATTCAATGCATCAACAACGATCCATATATACTTAAATAAATACATACAGACAAACGTAAATATACTATTCAAGAAAATGACAGCTTACTTGAGTGAGAGAGAAAAAGGAACTGGCTCGCGACTAAAAGTAGGATGTGGGATCGCCGGCAAGTTACAGCCTACACTGATATAAACAGGCTTGCTCTCTTTCAACGCAGTCGATATTGCTGTATCGATCTGCTCATGTGCATCTTCCAAAGTATTCACCACAGCCTATAACACCAAAAGAATCAATCACCATTCAATATACCCAGAAACAATTGAATACAAGGGGCCACACAGACACACACACACACAAACACATCATCATCGTTCTGACCTGATAGCAAGTGACAGTCTGAAAGCATCGCATCTCTTGGCTGAAATCGGGTAACCCGATGGTGTGATGAAGGATCCGATTAGTCCCATAGTCATTAGAGTTGGGCCCACCAACCATACAAATCACCGGAAGATTTTCGCTATAAGCACCTGCGATTGCGTTCAGAACGCTCAATCCGCCGACGGTGAATGTCACAACACACGCTCCGACGCCGCGGGAACGAGCGTAGCCGTCGGCTGCATAGCCAGCATTGAGCTCGTTACAGCAGCCGATAAGATTGAGCCCCGGCTCGGCAATGAGGTGGTCGAGTAGCGTCAAATTGAAGTCACCGGGGACTGAGAACACGTCTGTGGCACCAATCTGGACCAGCCGGCGAGCTAAGTGGCGACCCAGAGTCGACTCGGCCGACGTCATCGGGATGGCAGGGTTTTGGATAGTGGAAACTACGCCGTTCGTGGGTATGCTTCCCACGTCGCTGGACATGGGATGGCACGCGTCCAGAGCTCCTATCTTGGTGTCCATGACGGAGTGACGATGAAGATGATTGAATATACGCTTGCAAGAATATGTGGTACCCGGAGAGAGAGATCTTGGATGCAGAGTTTTTGTTTTGGTTGACAGGTGGTGTGTGACACAGGAGAGAAATGGAGAAGAATTTATATTGGGGAGGGGGAACAAAACAAGGTACTGTTTTGGAGACGCTGGTTTTTGTGGAAGGCGGTGGCGGTGCGTGGTGTCTGGTATTTAGGTGCGACAATCTGGGAATTGTAAAAGATTAATTTTTTATATTATAGTTTTAATTTATTTAAAATATTATAACGTAATCTTACCTGTCGTCACTCATACTGTTAAAAATTATAATATTTTTTAATATATTTAGAGTATAATTTAAATTTTTAATATTATAAAATAAAAATTCTTAAATTTTTTAAATTGCAAAATACAATTCTCCCATCTTTATTTTGATTGTAATGAGAGAATATAGATAATGGTATTATTTGTGGTGGAGGTGGTCAGGCCACAAACCTCGTACGTGTATATGAAATGGAATGGTGTAGAGGGGACTAGTATTTTCAAGGTAGGACCCCGGTTGAGGAGGGTAAGGGCAATTTTATTATGGGCTCGTGTGGGTTTGCAAAATTGAATTGGAATAGAAGTGTTCAATTGCAACATGATTTTTTGCACTTCAAAAGAGACAGGACGTGAGCAACTTGTCAATCATAAATCAACACGTGACTCATTGCAACGAACTAATGGAACCCTCGAGTTTCTAAGGATCGAGATCGACGACGGACAATTCCTAGACGGAGTGAATATGCCCCGTAAGGGAACAAACAGGTGCACCATCAATCTTGAAAATTAATTGTCCTTGAAAAGGATTATATGAATAAACAAAAATAACATAACACCTTTTAACTCAACCATTTATTAAAGTGGAACACAATGAGTTGTTGGAAATATCAAGAATCCGTTGTAATTGATCAATTTTATGAAAAATTTCTTGGTAATTTTCTTTTTAATTTTATTACAGCATTAGTTTTTGTAGAAGGACATAAATGCAGTTGGATTAGTATATTTCACATTTGTACATATTCGTGCATTACCGGATTATGGGCTTGACCCAAAAAAAAAAAAAGTTAGGGCCCCAATGAAACTTTGAAAAGTTTGGGAGGATAAATGTAATAAATGAAACATAAATTTTGTTTGCATAGCGGTATTGCTGGGTAATTCCTCCGAGGTCAGTGGGGCAAGCAAGTGCCCCCACAGCCATACTAGCAGCTCCGCCCCCGGTGATAAGATCATTCAACGTATATAATTGAGGCTAATTTGACATAAATAACGTGGTTTGGTGGGAGCTGATTATTAGCTTTGATCGAATGGGCCCTACTGAAATTCTATAAAATATTTGGCCTGTTCATATAAATATCCATGTGGGTGTGGCATTAGCTTGCATGCAAGTCATGGTCTTCCCATCATTTAGAAAGAAATGGATTGAAGTGCATTTTTGGGTGATCTGATGTATTCTATGGCCAAGAACACTGGCTGGATTATGAGAAAATATTTAATAAAGATATCACCAATTATATATATAATAATCAAATATTATATGGACTTGATAGATCCAACTCTATGCTTCCCAAAGGTAGTGATAGAATTTACATAAGAGATGATTATATTTTGTTTTTAGTTTAACGTATAATTAGAAATATTTGAGTCAGTTTACACACACCTCGACTAATTCAATTCCTGATCTGATTAAAGATAAGTCATTCACGCCGAATCTAAGATATTACCAACTAATTATCAAATATTTTATGAAATTGATAGGTCCTACTATTTGCTTTCCTATGGATCTATAATAGAAAATAGAATAGACTTCAATAAACTTATTCGACGCTCTCAAATAGACTCATTAAACAGTCAACAACATTTCTCTCAAAACCATTTACGTTGAATTTTTTTCTCTCCCCAAATTCATCACTTCTTACTTTTGTTATAGCGTGACTTTAAACACATGTTACTCCTAATTAGTAATAAAAGTTAAATAAGAGATAATTTTATTTGCTCCATGCATGCCTAAGCACAATTCCATTAGGAGGCAAGCATCACTAATTTTAATAACTATCAATAACCATCACATTTAATAACTTTTAAATTAAAATAGTGAGATTTATTCATCATGTTCTATCATTAATTGATGATATCTCATGTATTAGTAATGACATTATATTATACTTAAACTCAATTTTTACTCACGGGTGATGGGGTATGATAAAGTGTGAATAACCAACGAGCCTTTGATCTGATAGTATTCTTTGTTTTGTGAAAGTTTTGTTTTCTTAAGATCAAAGATTTAAACCTCCTTCCCCCCTCCCCCCACCCCGGGAAAAAAAAAGATAAAGTGTGAATAACGGGGTGAAATTGGCTTGTCAATCGACTATATTAATTCAATTGTTTGGTTGAAGCCATGGAGTTTTTTGTTGGTTACCAACAGGTCTTTGGTTTAATGATACTATTTATCTTGTGAAAGTTTTGTCTTCATGAGGTCAAGGGTTCAAGTTCATCTTTCCCTTCTCCCCGTTCCCCCAAAAAAAATAAAAAAAAATAAAAATGANGTCAAGGGTTCAAGTCCCCCTTTCTCTTCTCCCCGTCCCCCCAAAAAAAATAAAATAAAATAAAAATGGTGTTTCTTGTTGGTTCAATTTTGAAAGAACCAGCTGAACTATGTCTTGACAACACCCTAAAAAGAGTTGGGCCAATTACATTTTATTTATTTAAAGATTTATAAATTTTTACTTTACACCCTTAAAAATAAATTTTTTTATATTATATCCGAAATGTATTAAAAGTGTTGCAATGTGACCCTTCTGTTAGTTTCCGTTACTTTTTCTATCGAAAACCTCTCCATTGACACTTGACCGTAAACATAACGAAATCTAATAGAATGATCAAATTACAATACTTTTAATATATTGAGAGTCTAAAAAAGTTTGATAGTAGGTATTTTAATATTTTTATAAGAAATACAAATGAGAGATATTCAAAATCTATTTTTTCACTATATATTTCGACACGAAAGGCTTTTAATTTATATAGGAAAAAGTATAGTGTATATTTAACAATCAAAGATTTATAATAATAAGTGAACCGTAGACATCAATCTTCATAACACCGTAAAAAAATATGAACAATCCATGCATGCTGACAAACCAGAAAAAAGTGCATTGTATCTACAATAAATGGCATGGTAGGCATAGGGACCTAAATTGCTGGCTTCATAGATAATGGAAGGAAGCATTGTTCATATTTTGGTGTGTCCAGATTAATTTATGTATATCTCGATTAATTTTTTTTTCAGTCGATCAAAAGTAGATCATCCACGTCGAGATTATGATATTCATAAGAGATAAATNATATCCTTCACAAGTTATAATGAGACTGAGCTACCGACAAAATGGTTTAAATCAATGGGAGTGCCCAATAAGACATGTGCTTGTGGTTGTCAGGAAGGTGCGCCTGCCTTATTCTTAATTTACACATCAAAGAAACTGAATGGTGAATGAATGCTAATTTATGTTGGACAAAGGCCACAAGGGACATAGTAGGATATGTGGACTAGTCAAGAGAGAGACAGAGAATTAGGATGGGTAACTTCATAGAAGGTAGGACAACACCATCTACTGGTGACCAAGTAAATGGTGAAATACAGCAATATTAAGGTATTAAGAAGAGGGAGGAGGCCCAAAAAACATAAAATTAGCTTCTAAGAAAGGGCATAATGGCCTTTGATTTAAATACGTTATAAAAGCAGATTATCCTGGCAAAAGGTTTGTGTATAGTTTGGACTATAATGAATTCTTGAACTATTGTTCCTCGCGGTACAAACTATAGCAGTTTCCACTTGCGTGCTACTGGATATTAATAAGGATGGAATAATTATAATTGCATGCATTCTCTTTTGATGCAACTGAGAGAATTTAGCAATGGAATGATGATAATATAGTGTTTGATGTAGTTGTGGATATCACGCATATGTATTTTCATATTGTAGCTTAAACTTAACTTTTTTCCGGAGATAAACTAGTAGTTATATGCTAAGAAATGAGATTGCTTTCCTAGTAAGCTTGTTGACCTTTCCGTTTTTGCAGGCACCTTCAATGCGACAACTGCACCTGCATGTTATCAGCCAGGATTTTGATTCAGTACATCTGAAGAATAAAAGACACTGGAACTCATTTAATTCACCATTCTTCCGGGATTCAATAGACGTAATAGAGGAAGTCGTTAAACATGGGAAAGCCACATTGAAAGATGATGACAGATTCCTGTCAATGGAGTTGCGATGCCACCGATGTAGAAGTGCACATCCAAATATACCTCGCCTCAAAACACATATAAGCAAGTGTCGAGCCCCTTTTCCTGCTGTTCTACTCCAACCTGGTCATTTAGTGTGTGCACGAACTAGTGATGGACTTGTTCAGTAGGAGTGTCCAGGCTATCCTCCATCAAAATTTTGCCTTCTTGTTTATAACAGTCTCTCTGTTTGTGCCCGAGCGTGGGCATGTATTCCATCTTCACGAGGCNTCCAGGCTATCCTCCATCAAAATTTTGCCTTCTTGTTTATAACAGTCTCTCTGTTTGTGCCCGAGCGTGGGCATGTATTCCATCTTCACGAGGCTCTTAGGGCCTGTTTGGTATGTTTTTGGGAGGGATTTGGATTGGCTTGTCTAAACTCGGGTTTGACCAAAGATGGAATTCAAGGAAGGGATTCAATATTCTATGTTGTCCATACCTATGTTTGGTATGTGCAGGAATATATGATTATTATGATAATATATTTGTATTTAAATGATTATTGTGTCCTTCAACTAATTTAATTCAAATATGAGTATGGATATATAGGGGGGTATAAATATTATTTAAATGTGAAATTCTCAAACTCACATATGAAACTAACCCCCCTTCCTCTCTCCCTCCGATGGATTTCATGAAACCTGATGGTGTATTTGAACTTGGATGAGCAAAAGGTGTAAGTAACGTGAGATGAGCGTGGATCAGAGTTTCAAAGTTTGTGTATTATGATGAAATCAAATATTAAACGGGAGTATACAATAAAAATATAGTGGTTCACTGGCTCGGAAGCTCGGCTAATCCACTTTTTAATGGAGCTATAGCTCTTTTTTCTTTATTGATCATACTAAAGGTTTACAGAATAGGTTTTTGGTCATTTGGTCCTCCTCTAAAGGGAGCGTTACATGGTATTTATAGGGGGAGACCCTTAATCTATAGGATCTGATCCGTGATTCTCGTCATCTATCCGAAAAATTCTCCTTGATCTTAGGAGAGTATCGTGGTTGGTTGAGGATTTTGTGTCTTGAGTGTTATTTCAAACCGCCTGTAAAATTCTTTGTAGTATTCAATTGCTTCCTCATTGCTTCAGCTTATTATCTCGCTTGAGGGGAGTTCTAGCTCTGGTTTTCTGAGTTCTGCATAGCTCTGACTTTCTGAACTCAGCATATCTGACCTCCATGTTTGACCTCCGCTCCCGAACTCTTGCTCGAGAATCATTCTGAATATCATCAAAACCCCATGAACAAGGGTTTCATGACCGGGTCGAATTTCAAACCCTATGTTAAATTCATAGTTACTAAATATGGGTTTAAGGGGTTTAGTCCATAACCCATGTTCTCAACCCCCAAACCCACGTACCAAACAGTCCCTTAATCTCTTTGCTAATGTGCGTTTGCACTTCTCTGTGCCGGTGAATCATGAATTGTACGGATTTTATGGTGTACAAATGCAGCATTAAGGTGGGTTGAATGCATGATCAATCCAAGCAAGGAACTTTTGCTTGGAAAAGCAACCGCAATCTCTTTCAACTAATTTACTCATTATCACGAAAACCCCCATGTCCGAACTTGGGAACTTAATTTCCAACTATAGTATGTTCTTGTTTAGCGTGGGCTAATGAATTTATTGTCGATGTAATAAGACACTTCGTACTCTTATTATTATTTGAATCATCTTCATAACCCAATAACTGAAGCCTACTATTTAACTTAAAAAAGGCCAAAGAAAAGGAAGACGCATCACCCACTGCCAAAAGGGCTGCCAATTGGTATCAACCTATCAAGCCGGGCAAGCAAGTCTGCAAATTCTATTGGGTTGCACATGAACATCTCACTCACATGAATCTCACACGTAGAACCCCATAAAAATCTGCACCCACTGGCTTTACTGGATTCGAAGACAAATGGCAATCAAGTGAGGAGCCACAGAATGCCAATTTTGAAAAAGTAGGTTAAAAGACGATATGCATTGATGATACCAAAATTTGACATCACCTCCACGTCAACTTGTTTGGTATCAGAAGTTGTAGACCCGAGAAGAAATCTGGAGATCGATCTTCCGATGCCTAAGTCAGAAAGAGTATTTAAGAAGAAGAACATGAAATTAAGAGTTCAATTATCTTCTCCAAATTATCTTACATCTTCTCTTTTATAGCCAATGAATTAGGCGTTGGACGATTCTTATCCATAATGTAAATATGGATATTACCGTGCTGTAGTGGGTGACAGCTCTCCATCCGGAGTAAGAGTCTAAGCTGGATTTGAAATAATCAAATCGTAAAGAGGTTAGACCCTGTCAACCCGAGAGCTCGAGCTGAGTTGGACTTGGACTAAATAGTCTTTTCATCTTGTGCCAATATCTCCATCATCATGTTCCATCCACAGTCCATAGTCAAAAGGCATTGAAGAAGGAAAAGAACACAACAAATGAAGCAAAAAAAAAAAAGATCAGGAGACATTGGAGATCATAGTGGATATCCACTAACTTGCAATACTCTGCAGCATACGCAAAATGTTTTACAAATCCGGAATTACAACCTATATTGACATGGAAACATAAAGTTGCTGGTTAATTCAGTATTAACGGATTCAATCCCTATGGTAGTAGAAGTGGAAGATTTACTGAGGGTTCGGTGGGCGGCTATTGGCGGCAGAAACTCTAGAGCCCCACTCAAGCAGCTCTTTGCTTGTGTCATCCTTGTGAACAATCACTTCAATGAAGCACAAGCAATCTTTCTTCTCATTAGTTGCTGTCTCTATTGCTTTAATGAGCTCCTCTTCATACCGGACCTGCAAGAATGAAAATTCAATCATAGTTCAATAAGGCTGCTGGCTGCCTACTTCCCCATCACGTATAGAGTGAAAGCATAATGCGACTCGACTCACCTTAGCTGTCCAGCACTTGCCTTCGCCGTTGTGGATTGCGTCAACCAATCCAGTGTAGTTCCAGTTCTTGATCACATTGTATGGTCCATCATGGATCTCAACTTCAATGGTGTAACCACCGTTGTTGATCAGGAAAATTATGGTGTTCTGTCCACAGCGTATCATTGTTGACACATCTTGTGCAGTCACCTGCAACCATTCAGCAAGAAGAGCGTAAACAGATGAAGGAAAAGGGATACAGGTGCGATAGGAGGGCATGGTTAAGCAGGTAAGTGAAGGCTCTCTCTCCCGCTCTGTGGCCTTGTGTAAAGCCTTTCTACCCATTTTGATCTTCATTCTAAGTGAACAAGTCGAAAGCAGTTAAGGTGATAGCAATAGTAAGCAGGGAAGCAATAAATACATAAATCATTTATGTCACAATTAAACAAACATATCACATCATTAAAATCATTTGACTAGGCGAAGTACTACAAGGTTTTAGCCCAAATAGTGTACACTCAACAGTTTCTACTTTCTGCAGCTAAATAGAGACATATATACCTGGAAGCTCCCATCACCAATGCAAGCGATCACTCGCTTATCTGATGCAGCTTGTGCATATCCGAGAGTTGCACCCACGGACCAACCAATGGATCCATATTGCATTTGGAACTCATACCTGGAAACCCAGATTTCACAACCTCAGTAAACATTATGAATCCTACACAAAAGCAAACAACGAAAAAACTACATTCTCTCTATAGCTCACCCGCATCCCTCTGGTAACTTGAGCTTCTGGCAATTGAACCATGAGTCCCCAGTCTCAGCAATCACAGCTGTGTCACTCGATAACATCTTCTGTATATGTTCGAATAGCACATTGACCCTCAAGGGCTCCTTAGGGTCACACTTGAGTGGATGTCCTTCAGGAACATAAATCCTGTGGTAATTATCATAAGCAGTCGTGTTACGCTTAAGCCGCTTTGCAAGTGCTTTCAAGAAATCTTTCATCAAAACACATCCAAAAGCAGGCCCATTCGCAATCACCACACGATCAGGCTGCACAATGATGGCCTTCTCTTTCTTGAGAAGCAGAGAGTACCCAACTGAGCTGTAGTCATTGAATATTGGACCAGCAAACAAATACGCATCAGCTGATTCCACGATTTCAGCACAAAAGGGCGTGCTCACCGCACCCCAGTAAGTCCCAATGAAATGGGGATGGTGCTCTGGCACAAGCCCTTTAGCAGATGGCATCACTGCAAGGGCATAGCCACAAGCATCAGCCAATTCAAAAAAGGCCTCGCCCGCCTTGGCAACCCGCAGTTTTGGCCCTCCCACCATCACTGGCTTCACTGCCTTGTTTAAGAACTCCACCGCTGCCTCCACTGCTGCCTCCAAACCCATCTGATTACTCATTCTACACCACCCCCATTAAAAAATTAATAATTAAATCAAATCAATCCATACCCTGAATCCAGATTAGGACACAGATGTATGTACAACACACATCTTATTAATAAAAAATCAGAGAAAAACCCATCTAATTACTCAGTCTACATCACTAATACCACAATTAACTATAAAAAATTAATTCAACCACAATAATTCAATGCATCAACAACGATCCATATATACTTAAATAAATACATACAGACAAACGTAAATATACTATTCAAGAAAATGACAGCTTACTTGAGTGAGAGAGAAAAAGGAACTGGCTCGCGACTAAAAGTAGGATGTGGGATCGCCGGCAAGTTACAGCCTACACTGATATAAACAGGCTTGCTCTCTTTCAACGCAGTCGATATTGCTGTATCGATCTGCTCATGTGCATCTTCCAAAGTATTCACCACAGCCTATAACACCAAAAGAATCAATCACCATTCAAAATACCCAGAAACAATTGAATACAAGGGGCCACACAGACACACA